AATCCGTTCAGAAGTTTCAGCGTGATTGACGGACAAACATCAAAACAAAGAAACTTTCACATTTAGATATTATATTAGTCTGTTGAGAATCTAATTTTTTTAGGATTAGGAGTTTGAGGATTGTTGGAGATTCATAGATTTGAAAGATTGGGGGGGGGGGGGGTGCAATTGGGCCTCCGGTAACCTCACTCACATGACGCAATTGAACGCAAGTGTTGCTCCACATCAGTTGTGAGGCCGTGGTATCACTCCGGTCGAGCCGGTCCATTCGTGCCGAAGCATGGTATGGAATAACATTGTTATGTTATTTCAATTATTTCAATAATAAAGTTATGTCAACATCACGCTTTTTCATCCCCGAAGGGGTAGGCAGAGGTGCACATTACGGCGCTTAATGCTACTGTACAATGTAACACTCACTTTTCACTATTTATGTTATGAGTCCCATGCCATGAGGGAGTAAGTTAATTGCCATATACCTACCTACATATTATTGAAATAATTGTTCATTTTTGCAAATAGGCTTCAAGGTAACACTTTTACACGTAAACAAAATGATATACAAGCCTGTACGTTTACATAATAATATATTATTAGATTGATCACATCAGAAGTTATGCTTTTTGTTACTCGAACTGTTAGAATGTTCGTATTTGTAATAAACAATTCTCACTTTAATTCAGAATACATCAGAAATAGGTAAAATTAATACTGTACTAAATCGTCTTTTGACATCTTATCAATACACAAAAATAATGAATTTGACAAAAATGTGCAATCATAGAGTTCTTTTTTCTTTTTGTCTAAATATTCTTAGACGAGTTTTAATTTCTATCCACTTTGGTGTAAACGAACCTCTTTGCTTTATAAATAGGGGTCGCAGTCCGACGTCAAGGATCGCTAAAAATATAATATCTTCTACAAGTAGAGGCTTGCCGTTTCAATTTAATTAAAAATAGTCCGCTGTTGTGCACCCGGGTTATTCTGTGTTTGAGATTTTTTTTCTTTTGGTTTTAGAGGTAGTACAAGTGTTAGTGCTTATGTTATTTATGGTACCTACTACTCAAATTCCATACTTTTTACGAACTGTCAAAAATGATAGTTTTCTATGGATTTTGTACGAGATTGTGTATTGTGACGTCGCGTTGTTTAGCGTCAAACAGCATACTTATTACTTAAAAATTTGCCGGAAAAATACTAAAATTAAGTTGGTCATAAAATGAAAGTATTTTTAGTATTTTTTAATATTTTATTGTATTAAACAGTCGAAATAATTTATTATTGATTAAGAAAAGTATCCAATTGTAAAAACGATTTATTTGAAATTTTATTTCACTGTCGATTTTGACAAAAAAAACTGGATCGTTATCAAAAAAGATTTTTTGCGTAAGTTTATATTAAAAACTTCCGTTTGACATACTCGTAGGCTTACTTGCGTGTCGCCTAGAACCTAACGGGTTACCGGGGCTCCGGCTCGAAGTGCAGGTGTAGGAACGGGGTGGTTTTTAGTCAGCAAGAGTCTGACACTCCCTCCCGCTTCACCCAGGCGGGAGCAGTCATTCGATGATTTTCCCCCCTTAAAAAAAAGGCTTACTTACGTAACTGTTTGACGAGGAACTCGACTAGTTTTAAGCCATGTTTCCTAAATTTTATTTTAATGTCCGTCTGGTAGAGTCAAAATTAGAATTGATTGAATTTAAAACATCAGACACGTATTTTTTCTTTTCTCACATAATTATATACTTTCGATGTTCGATTAATTTGAAATATCGTGTGACGTCACAACGTACCTTTTTTAGCACTTTGTGACGTAACAACCTCTCACTGTTAAACTTAACTCCATTTTATCTAAGTATTGTAACTTTATACATTATGTAACTATTTTTTAATTATGTAACTGATGGAATTTTTCATACCTTGGCAACTACCCTATTCCAAACACATTCAAAACAACAGCATCATTATAATATTAGAGGTATAAAACAAAGCTACGAGCATCTTCCCTATCTTCAAACTGCACTTGAAAACTTCGGTCCCTTTCAACACTTTAAGAGTTCCCTAACAAGTAACATAAAGAAACAAACAACTCGAATATATAATCGTTCGCAAATTTTTACGATAACAACCATGTTTTTATAGAGAGCCCCATTTAGTTGAGGCACTTGGCACTTAAGATCTTTTTTCGCAAACAAAATGAATGTTCCTTTGAAGTTTAATGATAGAACGTGTTTATTCTACACTATTATAGGCTATGCTAAAAGAAAATAGGAAATGGAAAAGTAAATTACATTTGCCAGTTTGTCAAGTTTAAGGAATTATTTTGTAGAAATTTCAATATACATAGTATCAACTCGTCGAGTACCGTATTTATAGACACAATCAAAGAACAATAGGTTGCGGTCACCGGTGACCGCTTGGTGTTTGACAGTTTAAATAAATGTGTATAAAGGTATTTAATAATTTTCAAAAAAATATTAAAATAATTTTAGAATGTGGTGTGCAACCTTAGTTGGAACTGTGTGGCCACTGAAAATATTAGTTTTGACAACATTTTATTTCAGGTTCGAAATCTAGATGTAGTTGATGGTCCGATTTTGTAATCTGTCATTGGCTATAAGTATGACGGCCCTGTTGTCACCACTCTGAAGGTGGCTCCAATACCTAGTAATGTCATCATCATTTAAATGTTAACTTTAAATCGTATGTTGTACGACATATTTCATAACGTCAATATAAAAAGGTGTAAGAGCGCCGTACGTCGTTGGGTGACGCGCTTTTTGTACCTATTATTTCCGCCGTGCCAAAGCCGTGTTTGAGGTGTGGTGTGCCAGAGCCGTGCTTGTTGGTGTTTTTTTAAGGGGGGAAAATTCTTCGAACTTCTCCCATCTGGGTTAGGCGGGAGGGAGTATCAGACTCTTACTGACTAAAAACCACCCCGTTTCTACTCCTGCGCTTCGAGCCGAAGCCCCGGTAGTCCGTTAAGTTCTCCGCGGCTTCTTTTTGTATTGTTTTCGCCATGCTGAAGCCGTGTTCGTACCGTGCCAGAGCTGTGCTCGTTAGGTGTGCAATGACTTTTACTCTTCCTACTGGTGTCACAAGAACCAACTAAATAAGGGATGGCATACTGGCCTTTTCTTTCTTTCTTTCTTTTTAATGGGATTTTTTTATGGTTGGTATATCTTCAAATGACTTCTCCGCCTGTGTGAGGCGGGGAGTGTCAGACTGACTAAAAACCACCCCGTTCCTACTCCTGCACTTCGAGCCGGAGCCCCGGCAACCCGTTAAGTTCTCCGCATCAGCCCTATGTTTAATCAGATAGGTTGGCAAACGAACAGAGCAGCTCTCTGATAAACCTGAACCTTTTAAAATACAAACAAAAATTAGACTCAGAATTCCAACACATCGATCATCAATCATAAAGTTTATGAAAAAACTGACGTAAGTACCTAAGCATTTACTTATAGAGCAACAAACACGTCAGCGAAAACGAAAGTACCTTTCAAGTCCTGAAGTAGCGAGTTTCAGGCAAATATTTATATATTACTATATTTACTTGGCCTTATTTACTTGCGAGATGGGAAAGTTATCATTACACGGTGAGAGACGGCTTGACAAATAAGTTTGGGTAGGTAGGTGCCTATTAATGTCAAGGATTTGAGAGTACGAATTCCAAAATTGATTTTTGGAGTTTGTTAAAGGTCCTACCTAAACCTTTCGGTTGGTACCCAGTGCTTAGGGATATGAAAATACCGCTTGTTGTTTAAAAAGTTGGGGGTAAGTATTCAATATTTGGTTAGTGAACGGGTATCCTTAGGGCTGGACTTTCAATTCATTAATAGTATGGTTTATTCCTCTGGTCTTGCGGGTGTCCATGGGCGGCGCTGATCGATGATCCGTCTCCACGTTTGCTTCCTATTCCATAAAAAAATAACACAAATGTAATTTATCAAATTCATCCAAAGATGAAGACACATAGGTTCAGAGTCGTAGACGTATGCGTATACGCAAGAACGTGCGTAAGTTCTTAACCCCTCAAAAAGACTGATATGGCAAAAAGCTGTGCGCAGAGAAGAGTGGAAGGAGAATAGAAATATTTGCACTGCAGTCAATCGGTCACGACTGAACTGATTCGATGACGTGTACATTAATAAGTAGGTAAATACTGAGTGACCGTTCAAATGAAAATTTAAAAAACCCCAGTTATATTTTGCCGAAACCGAGAATCTAACCTGAGACCCCTTACCTGGCAGTCGCACTTGCGACCACACGGCCAACGAGGCAGTCTTTAAAACTAAGTTTAAGACTTGTAAACTAAAGAAAATAATGTTATGTAATAATACTAATAATGAGATTCTATCTCAATATTCATTAAATAAGTACTTTTTAGTTAGGTACAAAAGTAAACTACACCTATAATATAATAATATGTAATAAAATAATAGATTCCGAAGCGTAACAATTTATTTACGCAACTGTAGCGAATAATTCACCGCCCAGTAAGTTAATTACAGAATAAATAAATCAATTATGTTTCAGGGACTTACCTTTATCAAGAAAATTAACACTAAAGTTATAATATTCCAAACTTACTCCGGCAACCAAAAAGTTATGTTTATATAGACATCTAGCGGTAAATACGACAACTAACTAAATCTGCGATGTTACAGTTCTCCATCGTGGGAAGAGATGGCGCTAAAATCGTATGGATATAGACATCTAGCGGCAATTATGACAACTAAATCCGCGATATTACAGTAATTCTCGATTGTGGTAAGACATAGCGCTGAAGTCATAAGGATAGACATCTAGCGGCAATTACGATAACTAAATCCATGCTGGTGCAGTTCTCTATTGTGGTAGAGATGGCGCTATATACAACTTTGGATTGAAGTTTCCCGAAATTCAAATTTTTATTTTATGTAGGACTCGTAAATAAGAAAATCAATATTTCAATAGTATTAAAAATTAATATTTGTCAATAAAAAAATTATATAATACACTTAAAAGTATTTTTCAAGCGGTTCTCCCAATATTTGTTCGAGTTTCCTGATGGCATCTTTAGTAGATGCTTCTATTCTTGAGTCACCATCTTCTAGAAGTTCAGCGAGGAATGGCACACTCTCAGCCAGAAGCGGTAACCAGCTACTGCCTAATTGCGTTGCCATAGCGACGAGACAGTCTAGGGCTGTCAATCTGAAAAAAAATTAAAATGTTTAAAACTTTGTGATGATATGAAAGATGATGATGAAAGTGTGAGTTTTTACACAATACAGTTCAACAGCCGTATGTTACATATTTGTATTTGTACGTTTGTTTGTAAATGGACCCATAATACAAAAATACAAACTCCTAGACTGGCGTACTAAAGGTTTTAAAAATAAAAAAGTAGTATCAAGATAACCGCACTAACCTGATCTCAGCATCATTATGCCGCGTCTTCAACAGAATCTGATAATTCAACAGCTTCCACAACGAATCATCAGCCGTAGCAACAGCAAATTGCGACACACAAGGGATCAGATACTCTGTAGCCCTTGACTTAAGGTTCTGAATGCCTCCCAAGGTGTTCTCCAACTGGTCCACCACAGGTTGCATAAGAGTTTCAAACCTGTCCTTGTTTAGGAAACTCTGACTATCATATAGGAAGACTGTATGAAGAGTTTTTACAATATACTTGATTAAAGCCAAGCATTTATCTTCAGATTCAAAGTACAAGTCCTCAGTTTTGCTGTTGTTGCAGGAATCAAGGAGGTCTGATGCGTTTTTGATGAAGTGTCCAGCGAAGAGAACGAACAGGCCTTTCAGTTTGTCTGCGATCGCAGAGCTTAATCTGAAAGAGGTTGAAATGTGGTTTTAGTAAGGTAGAAGTACAATAGCAGATGAGGTATTTAAGTTATTGTCATTTGGTTTAGTCCTTGAGTTGGCTAATTACTTGTGTTATGTTTTAGATTTTATAATTTACAGCTATAGATTGTGGGTGGTATGTGGTACAATAGGTTTGTTTAATATTCGAATAATAACATAGTTTCTGATAAGATTTATTTCTAAAACTCGACTGGAGTGATAATACCACCGCTTCACAGAAAACCGACGTGAAACAACGCTTGGGTCATCGTATAAGTAAGGCTACCGGGGGTGATTAGCCCCCCCCCCCCCATCTCCCCAATCCCTGAATGCCCAACAATCCTCAAAACGCCAGTAACGCACTTGTAACACCTCTGGTGTTCAAGGTGACCATGGGCGACGCCGATAGCTGACCATCAGGTGATCTGTCAGCTTGTTTACCACCTTAACACAAAAATAAAAAAAAGACAAATCTAATAATTTTCAAAAGTAAATGGGTTGTATCTTACCTGTAAAAAGTGATTGCCCGATCCTTCTGTCCTTCAACGTTAGTCCTTATAGCCCAATCATAGATCTTGAAATAGAACGGTCTAAAGCTGGTTTCTGAAAGCTTCAGAACGAGGCAGACAAGGGCATTCACTACCTCATCTTCAGCTCTATCAATAACGTCAGCACTGACATCTTTTTCAACCGCATCACTTCTTAATTGTAGGGCCGTCAAGAAGAATGATGTTAGATCTTGCTGAAGAGCTGTGAAATCTGCTGTAGTGACGTTAGCAAAGCTGTCAGCTAATACCGACATCACAGGACCAACAGCATCAAAGTCCTCCTTCTCCAGAAGCATTTGGTGAGTCTGATTAACCACGGGGATAAGAACCCTGGGTGGTATAGATCCAGCAATTTTCTTCTTAATAGTCAACAATTTTGATACTATTGCAGAAACTTTGGAGCACTCCTGATCTAGACTCTGCCATTTAGCCAGTAAGATGGAATACTCGTATAATATTTTCTGCAAGTACGGGCTCAGGAATAGTGGTAGACTTTCCACAATCTTCGCAATGGCTGTTACTGTACTGAGTAGCACAAGTTCTTGAGTTTCTGCCTTTCGCTGCTTCTTCAGCACCTTGATAAGTGCTGGCATGAACTTCCGAAGGCTGGCTAAAGCATGGGCCTTTAGATTACTGCACAATTCCGCCAAACACAAGACAACAGAGGCCATGACATTACCAGCAATGTTGGGATTACAAGTATAGTCCGTAACTGTCTCCAGCACATTCTTAAATGGCTCAGGATTCTCTGATGCCAGCATTCTAGTCAACAACTTCAGGCACAGTAAAGCTGTTTGCTGGTTTAACTCCAGTTCCTGAGCAGCTATCTCGCTCAAATTCTCATCTCGAACCTCAATCGTCTTGACAATATCCAATAAAGGTGGCAACAACGAGAAAAGCAAATCTTTTTCAACACCCTCGAACAATTCTGGACTGAATTGGATTTTGGAGTTCAGTAGTTCCATGGACTTCCTTCTGACGGTTTGTAAAGTATGTTTCAAAAGGCCTCTGACGACAGAGAGGAACATTGGAGCAGAGAGCAGGTTGTTCGTATGATCTAATAAATCGTAGCTATGATGCAACATCACACGCCAATATTTAGCCGTCTTATCATCGGAGACCTTCGAAATTGTTTGGATGAACGTCAGAATATTGATGATGAAGGTCTTGTAATGGTCTCCATTGCTTTCTCGTCAGTCACCTGGCTGCTATGCTGAATGAACCTGGATGAAGCCAGGCAGGTGTTCATAAACGTGATTACCATGTATTTGTAGTGTCGTAATTGGAGTGGAGAATGTCCAGCCACGCTGAATATGTCGCTTGGGTCTACATCAGTGTCCATAACACTCTCATCCTTTTGCAAAGGCAGGGATTTAATGTAAATGATCAGTTTTATGAAGTTTTCAAAAGCGACTTCTGGTGGGAACTCTAGCACGATGCTCTGTCCAAAATCAATGCGGTTGATAGGTGCTTCTTGGTCCGCTAAGGTTCTTGAATTACGTTTGTCTACCTTTTTCTCCTCGCTAAAGTGGGCGACGTGAGTCTCCAGAAGTAAAGCAAGGAAAACCCATAGGAATTGACTGGGTCCTAGAGTTTCAATCAGCTTTTTGAACAAAGGAAGCCTCCTATGCTCCGGTACATGTAACACGCAATCAGCAAATATACGCAAAACTGGAACAACACGATTTTGTAACTGTTCGAGCTCTTTTTCAGTATGGTCTCCAATACTCTTGTCCAATTTCACCAGGATGGGTATCAATGTCTCAATAATTTTGATAATAATCTGGAAACTGTACGCGTCATCGTGTCTAAGAACTGATGTGCCCATGAACGTGAATATTTCCATCGTGTGGTGAAGAACTTGCTCTGGCAACATGAATGCAGCGTGGGACAAGAGAATGAGAGCATGGTGATGTGTTTGAGGGTTTTGAGTACCTCTGATACACTGCACAGCTAGTTCAACATTAAACACGGATTTAAGAGACTTCATTTGTTCCTCGTCCTTTTCGTCAACAAATTTCTTGCAATAATACCACAGGGATGAAAGAATGAGCTGTTTGGTATATTCCACGTAAGATTGTTCTTCGAATCTCAAGCATTTGTTTAATATTTGGAACAGAAGCGAAACGAAAGTGTTGTCCAACTTCATTTTCTTCTTACTCTGAACAAATTCGAGGAAAGCAACTCCCAAACGCCAATCGTCGGTTTCTGTTACCTGGTGAGATAGCATGGAGACTGACGACTTCTTTTTCTTGGACACATTCTCAGCTGGATCCACTACATTCAACATTTTTTCCAAAATAGGTTTGAAGTGACTGAATTTCAGATGAATTTTCTTCATAACTTTCGAAGCTACACTCGATATTGATGGATTGTTGCTGACCGCGCCAGCACAAGCGATCAAGTGCACTAGACCATTACATTTTTCTTCTGGCACTTTATTGAAAACATCTTCGTCTATCTGCTTCATTATCAGAACAGATGGACTAACGAATGATTGGTCCTCTTGTAAGATGCACTCTCGATATTCTTTCAAACCTATTTCTATAGAACTCCAGACTTGTTCATTTGAGAATGTAGTAATAGTAGACTCAGTAATATGGTCATATACGCTCTTGAAGATATTAGACTCATAAATATCAAATATGAACTTTGTATTCAGAGTATTTTGTTGCAAAGTCTCTTCTAAAGGTTTCAAAACCTGTACAATGTGCGGGAATGCGGTGGCATTCTTGACTTCGCAAAGAATTTTGAGGAAACTGGATTTAATGTGCGATGGTGCTCCAGAGTTCAATATACCAACCAATTTTAAAAGGCAGTTGCGCCTGAACAGCTTTTTCTGGTCTTTCTGAGTCAGTATCGTATTTAGAACATGTTTTACTTGGTTATGGTCGAGTAACATTTCTTGTTTATGCGACAGTAACTCTTCAAACAATTGGACGTATACTAATTTCTTATCCGGTTCTTCTCTCATTAACTTATTGATGAAATCAATTGACAACTCACGAATAGCACTTAATGGATTGTTTAAACACAACAAAATAGTTAGGACCACCACATCTGAGTCATGCAGCCAAGTCGCTTTATCTTGTACAGCTAGGAAATTGGTGAGCAGTTTAATACTTCTAATTTGCAACTCGGGTCCAATAACGTCCTTAGGGTCGGTCGCATACAAAATATGTCCGCAAGCAAAGTTCGCAATGAACTCGAATTTCTCTTGAGGATTTTTGAAGAATTTCTCCAACAATTTCTGAAGCAGAGCGACGTAGTTTTCACCGTAGCTTGGGATCGCACATCCGATCACACAAATTTCGTATAGCCTCCTAATAAGGATCGTCTCTGGAGTTTTACAAACATCACACCACGGTTTAGGAATGTTGGTCACATTCATATCCTCAATCACTCGAGAGAAAATATACTCAATAATTTGGAAAAGCATATTATTCTGACGACAGAGCTTTATGAATTCTGGCATGATAAGGCTGGAGAATACTTGTCCTTCTGAACTGTGGACTATGGATCTATTTTCTACAGATTCTAAAAGCAGATTTAGTATGGCTGAAACTTCTTCTACTGTGGCGCTCTTAAGGGAACTGCTTTTTAACAACATGTAAAAGCAGACGTCCAAAGTATTGCCTTTATTCAACTGATTTTCATCAAGGATTTCATCCAAGTTCAGAGTTCGATCAACAAAGAGCGCTTTGAATATAACTTCGCATAGTTTAGCGTGGTCTCCTTTAATGGATCCTTTGATATCTTTCGTTTTGTTGGAAAGACCAAATTTCTTACCCCAAGCCGATGTTAGTATTTGCCAAGTCAGTTTAGCAGATTCCGCATCACTTGGGAATAAATAAGGCACTAAAGCTAAAACTGTTTCTTGATTGACAGGCAAAGTCTCAGTAGAGCAAAAAGTTGTAACAGCCTTTTTGACAATACTTCTCCATTTCTTAGATCCCTTTCCAACAATAGCGACAAAAGTGCTGGTAGCATCAGCTTCATCAAAAATGTCCTTTAAATATTTAGTAGGGATGTCCAAGGCTGTGTTTACAACTTCAGGATTATCATCATTTAACCTGTTAATGATAGATTCTTTGACGAAATCAGCGTGTTCCGTCTTCAATGCTTCAAATTCTTTAGTAATGTATTTGACTGCTTCTACTCTCAATTTCGCATTGACATGGTTAAGGTTTTCAAATAGATATGTGTCACCGACCTTATGTGCAACTGCTGGTTTGAAGCCCAACAATTTTGAGAGCTGATTCCGTCTTTTTTTGGTATTCTTGCTGTTGGAGCTCATTTCTTTTTTGACCACTTTGTCGAAAGCGTCTGGGTATTGACGCTCGAGGTTCTTTAAGAATAAGGCGTACCAGTTGAAAACTTTGCTGGCATTGTCATCTTCATCAATAATTTCCACGTCACTCCCATCATCATCTGTACTTGTTTTTTTAGGTTGGTAGGAGTCGAGGACACACCTGGAATTTTAAGGTTGATTGTATTAGTTTCTTCAGATAGAGATACTTTTATGAATTATTTGTTCGGTTGACATTATCTGACTACTAATTATATTGACGAGTGGTCTCGATTTAACTAATTGCCACTGTGAGTATTTTAAAAATATTAACATAGCACAAACTTATTAAGTTAATATTGCATGAGATTGAGAATAAATAAAATAAATAAATAAAAATAAAAAGAGATGAGAATAATATTTGTTTAATTACAATAAGCCAACAGCATGGTATTTTTCTAAGGTTTTAAATATCTTTAAAGGCTAAATAAACATTAACAGGATTTTTTAAACCCTGATACACAAGTAAGTACCACACCAGTAAACACCTATTTGTTGTGATTTCAAGTACTAATACACAGATATACAAAGCAAAATGATAAATTTTGCTCAAGATTAACTCGTCGAGTACCGGTTTTATAGACACAATTAAAGAACAATAGGTCGCGGTCACCGGTGACCGCTTGGTGTTTGACAGTTTAATAAGAGTTCTGTAGTTAGTTTAAAACTTACTTGATAATCACTTCTGGCTTCTGCTGCTTCAAGTCAATTTCACCTATCAAAATTTCAGGTAGCTTACAGTACCTCCAGTAGTCTTCACCCTGTATCAATGGTAGAACACTGGACAAGAACGCTAACAGAAACGCACCAATCTTGTGGCGTTTTTCAACCAACTTCTTAATATGACCGCATAATGAATTCATGATATCGATAGACATATCATTTAATATATCTTCTGACATTTTCTTCATGTGGCTCTGTTTCTCGTAGACCATTGTAATAAGGATTGCTACGTCAATCGAAATATCAAACTCGGTAGTCAAAAGTTTTAAGATTATTTCGTTCAGGGTGTCCTCTTTTAAACTTGTTTTTGTGAACAAGTATCCCAGAGTAACATATGCAGAAGCCCTAAAATCTACAACTGGTGATTCAATTGCCTTTATAATGGTAGGCAATAATGCATTAACAATAGCTTCTGTGACTTTCTTGCTGGAATCCATAACACCAATCGCTGTCTGACAAAAGAAAGCGTATACAGTATTGAGTTGTGTTGCTCTTTCACCAAATTCCTTTACATACTTCAGTGTTGTCTTCGCAATAAACTGCAATGTGCCATTATTTGACACACATTGGTTGAACAAAACCTGTTTGGCTAAAGTAATGCCATTTTTATGAATAGGCATGAGCCAGTTCCATCTATTGTTGTTTGATTTGATATCCATAAGTTGGACGAATCTGACAAATATATTTGTAGTATGGTACGGGAGAATTAATGCCATGATGGCATCTTGATTGTATTGCTGAATATGGTATCTGTTGATAAGCCATTCTAGAGCTTTGTGAGAGGATTGTAAGAGAAGGTAAGGCGATAACTGTAGGAGAAACTTCTCAATGGTCTGATCAAGGGTTTGATTAACCTCCTTGGTCTGCACAGCTCTTTCGAAGTCCTTAGATGACAGGCTGAATAGAGTATCTTCAAACACACGGAATCCTTCGTATAATGCGATTAGTTCTCTCAACCCGCTAATTCCAATTTCATAAAAGGTGTCGCGATCTTTATTCGCGGCTTCTTTCGGGTCAAAAAGTAATGAAACTGTTTTATTGTCGTCCTTATAGATCGTTGATTGAGGTACTGTTAGCTTCTTCAGTTGCTCCGCTAAAGATGTAGAAGCCATGGTATTTTTTTAAGTCTGTAACAATGAGGTACTCATAAAATAAAAACACCACACTTGCCGGGTCTAAGGTTATAGTGGTTTAAGAGATTAAACGTTATACGTACCAATTTGTCATTAATAAAGTAGCACAATTGTAACTATTTGTTCACTTATATTAATATTATTTAAATTTAAACTAAAATCACTCGATAAAAAGAGCACGTGGAAATCAATGCAGCACTCAATGTTTACAACTCGAAGCTGTCAGACTGAATGAATGAATGCTGACACTGTCACTTCACCTGACTTGACTTGACGTTTCAATTAAAGTTACGTTTTGCTACTCTCAACCTAAAATTCAGACATCAGAATAATTTTTTTAGGGAATATTTAAATTTTTATCAATTACATTTCATTTTTTTATTTTTTAAATAATAAATATATAGTAGTAAATTAAATATATCATGATATTCAATTTACTTCTTTCCATAGGCCCAAACCTAAATGTTATTTTATAATGTTGCCAAGTATAAAGTAAAATAATATTTTCTATGTTTTTTATTTACCTATCTACCTTTCATCGCATGCGTGATCGCTGTGTCTCAGCTTGGTCTCAATTTGCCTAGTTAGCGAAAAATATTGAGTTTTAAGAAGTATTTTGTTTTCAAACATTTTTTGTAGTAGCACGGAGTTAAATGTTAATAATCCTTCTTGCACATAAATATCTAGCGAATAGAGGATTTTATTGAAAGTTTATCCGTAAATTATTTATGTTCCTACCTATGCGTACGGTCAAAGATCAAAAGTCCACTGCCACCGTAAGACTACTATCGGTTGCGCTACAGCGCTTATACTGTGTATTGGCGATGCAAACATTCAACTAGCGCCTCTAGTGTCAAAATTATGTTAGACAGCTATCTAAGAACGACACTGACAGTTTTTGTATATAATTCACGTCGTAGAAAAAAAATACTTATTAAATATAAATCAGATTTATGTGGTTTCTTGTATATAAATATTTAAGTAAATTGCAAAATTAATCAAATGTTATACTAATCATTCAGTTAATATTCTTAACTCACTTCATTACACTCGAATACAATCCTATATCCTTTATACACCATCACTCCATCATTAAACTCGTATTCCTGATTCATTTACAATAATTATGTTTATCTGATGCTCGACCACCGTAAGATGCAGTTATTTCAGTTATTAGGCCAGTAGGAGTTATTTCAATATTAAACTTCGCTTTACTGTTTTTTTATATTGATAGTACGTGAATATTCTACATTTTAAACATTTAATATTAAACATTAAACATTTTATTTTTTAACATTTTTTAAACATTTAATATTAATCTTGAATTTTTATATTTTTGGAATGATTTAGGTTAATTACTACTTATCATTTCGGTATCAGGCCAAGGAATAACAACTTTGAGTACTCTACTCAGGATAGGCCATATAATATTATTAAAATTATTTGAACATGTCTACCTATTTAACCCAAACAAAACACCAATAACTCTAAATGACATTTATTTTGTTTAATTTTTACCATTGTCAAAATAACTCTGGTCTCTTACAGATAACATTTTCTTGTTTGATGGAGCATTTAAGGTCAATTCACTTAAAACAAGTCACCAATTTTTCTAAAAATTCAATTAAATGAATACCCGTCAAAGGAAATAAATACATATTACTGCTGAGTAAATCTGAGAGGGTTAATTGCTTTACAGCTGATCTTTTCTCCTTCCATACAGGAAGAAAATTTATTTGATTCTTAATTTTGTCTTTTGGAAATAAATAAAAACTTATTCCGGAATCTCCGTAAGTATTACATTGAAGAACGTAACAATATTTTGTTTATGCTTTTATTTAAAAGAGGTTTCTATAGTTAACCGTGATGACTATGTTTAAACTTTATTAACCTAAACACAAGAGCAAAGTGTCATTCTTAGACAACTTCTAGTTTTCGCCGCTAGGGGCGCGCGGATAATTTTTGCATCACCAATACATGTATGGTACTTGGTAACTGTGTATGTAATGTATATGTTCAGTAAACTAATCATAATTATTCAAAGTTCATAGAATGATTGAGACAAATGAAAAAAAACGTAGGTATTTCAATGTCCATTTATACGAAACTGCTTTACAAAACTAGCAACACTGCTAGTGACACTGAATTTGACTTGCAGTTTTACCAGATGATTCTTGTTTACAAATTCTCAAGGAATTTGCGTATAATTTACGTTAGTAATGTTATTAAGGTTTATCAATTAACAATGTTAATATTATGACGTATATTTAGTGTAAGATAAACACGTGTTTGTGTAGTGTTATTGGTTTATTCAGTAAGCATCGTATGATTTAAGTGTTCTTCTTTGTTCTCTTGTAAACATGGCAATGAAAATTGTTATCCTGTCTATTTTATTTTTTATTGTTCCTATTTTGAGTTATAAGCCTGTGGTTCTTATCCATGGGGTGATGACTGGAAGTGCTAGCATGGAGTTGATTAAATTAAGGATCGAAGAGGTAAGGTTTAATTCAAGGCTCTGGGTTTTTCCCCTGAAGTCTGCGGTTTTTTTTTCGTATTATTTCGAAGGTCAAGTTCATTCACCCATTGCCAATGTGCTGTGTAATGATCAGTTATGGGATTTAAATTGTAATTTTTTGTTAGCATTCACATTACAGATAAAGGTACCTAAAATTTTTTGTTGTATTTTTAGCTAGTGACTCTTCTAGTGTTTTTATTGTTGTTGTTATTAAAAAAATAATGTATTGTATTGCTGTACATTTAAAAATGCAGTAATATTATTTTGTAGTTGATTCTGTTATTGTTTACTTAAATATAGAGGTAGGTAACTATTGGTAAACAGTAAGAAAAATAATTTTAAAAAATGTAAGCTCTTGTCATCTTCCTTTAAATAATTAAAAAAAAATATTGGGTAGGTATATGTATACAGGTATGTAGGTTTTTTTAAGTTTAAAGAGTTATTAATTGTTATGTTTTAGGCTTACTCAAATTACTGTTTGACAAGGAATATAATACAATTCCGTGTACAATTAACTCAATCATAATATTATTATTGTTTACTGTTTAATAACAGTGTTACAAATTTATTCATACACGTAAATGTCAGAGAGATTTGTCGCTAACCATGAAAATTAATATCTTTTTTATACTAGGTACATATATACCTACTATTGTTCAAACAAAGTTTACTGTCCGCTTAAGAATAAGAATGTTTTGCACGAAGTATGGTAATTACAGTTGATAGTAAGTACCTATAAAAAATAGTCCTACATACATCACCTACTGTTTTCGGCATGAAAAGTTAAATATTACAATTATATTAAAAAATGAGAAGTGATCACTATAGGTTAAACTGTGACTTGTAAAAGTGTAACTTGCTTAAATTACAAATGTACTGGAGACCATGTAGGAAACTGATTTGCATCATTGTTCTCGAGGGGGAGGACTTTTCGAAAGTGATGGCACAATCAAACAGTAGTTAAAGATCTATAACTCCCTAACCAGTCAAGATCCAGCACCTAGAATATTAAACTGTCTTGTGTTCTTTAATTTTGTCTATAATGACGGTACCCAAAGGGTTAAGTCATAAATATAAAATTTCGATTTTTTTTAAACATTGTACCACACTAGTCCTTTTCTGTGTAGTGAGTGCGTTTACAAACATACAAGGTCACATACACATGGTACCCAGCCCCGGAACAACAATCTGTAACACAAAGAGTTGTTCCATGCGGGAATCGAACTCGCGACACTTTGCGCGGCAGCCAGTTGTCCAGCTACCGCGCCAACCGTGCCGTCTAATTATCCTCTTTTATTATCCTCTTATTCCATAAGAAAATATTATCCTAATTTCATTTGTTTATTGCTATTTTCCAGCAACATCCCGGTACAATAGTGTACAATGTGAACAGATTTGAGAGCTGGTCCAGCTTGGAGACGATGTGGCATCAGGTGCTGGAGATTGGCATGGATATAGCCAACATATCTAGTCGACATCCTGACGGCATTAATCTTATTGGTAAGGACAGTTAAAAGTATAAAAAGAAATTTATTTTTAAAAAGTTTAGCGTACTTAATAAAATGCCAAAGTCCTTTTGTTACGCTTCGCGGGCTCGCTACTTTGTCCTTGACGTTTAATCGATTTTCATGGGTAGCTGTTGTTGCAGAGAATACAAAATCTGAACACAGAAATAATCATACACATTATATATTAAAAATTCAATCCCAAAATGTGTGTAATATAATAACTTACATTAAATTCTTCTACTCTTTACTTGGATAACAATATTTTTTGTGTTGACACACCAGAAAAATTGAGATATCAACATTGTTAATTTAAGGTGAAGTTACTGTAACCTGTAACTGATTATAAAAAGTAATCATCATCACAGTCTATAAATGCCCACTGCTGAGCAAAGCCTCTTCTCACACGGAGAAGGTTTGAGCATTATTCACCACGCTTGCTCAATTCCGGTTGGCGATTACAAACTTATAATTAGAAATTATAAGCTTAGATTTCCTCACGATGTTTTCCTTCACCGTTTGTCAGTGGTGTCTAGATAATCTTAGAAAGTACATATAACTCGGAGAAAGTCACATTGGTACTTGCTGTTGGTTGGTTTCGAACCCGTACCCTTATGCATGAGAAACGGACGTCTTAAATCTCCGGGCCACCACGACAGTTTATAATTATTAAGTAAAACATATTTTTCATTTTCCAGGATATTCTCAAGGAGGTCTGATAGCTCGTGGCATTGTGGAGACATTTCCAAATGTGTCAGTTAGCACATTTATATCATTGAGCTCACCGCAGGCTGGACAGTATGGAGGTAAATAATAATGTTATTTATTATTGTTGCCAAGTTGAATCATAAGTTTCAAATAACAATAAAGTAAGGTTTACTGACTATGTTATTCTTATTTGTCATAGACCGAATACAACAATACAGTAGTTTACTAATTTTTTTTAATGTTCATGTGGTAGATTATTTAAAAACATTAAACACGTATTTTTTCTTTTCTCACAAAATTCAATACTTTAGACGATATATCCATTTGAAATATCGTGTGACGTCACAGCGTGCTACATTTTACAGCACGTTGTGACGTAATGACCTCCCACTCCTAAACTTAACGCCGTTTTATCTATGTATTGTAGCTTTATACAAGAAAATAAAAAATACGTGTCTAATATTTTTTCATTATCTAACTGTCGGACTAATTCGATTTTTAATTTTCTTACCCTGACAACTACCCAATTTAAGTGTTGCCAGAGCCATGCTTCGGCACGAATGGGCCGGCTCGACTGGAGTGATACCACGGCCTCACAGAAAACCGAAGTGAAACTACACTTGTGTTGTGTTTCGTCGTGTGAGTGAGGTTACCGGAGGCTCAATTACCCTCCTCCTCAGAATCCCCCCCACAATACTGAAATTTTCTATACCCAAAAGGCCGATAACGCAGTTGTAACGCCTCTGGTGTTCCAGGTATCCATAGGCGTCGCCGATCGCTTACCATTGGTTCCTGATTTATCCCATGAAAAAATATTAATATTAATATTATTAGGTCCAGTCGATTGGTTGAAAGTACGACAGTCGACTATGGGCCCATGATCAATACTCAAATAATAACAATTTACTTAAATAATACCCTTCAAATAATTTATTTTCTTTCTCAACATTACAGCTGGATTCCTACACCTGGTGTTTCCTGGTCTGGTGAAGGATACAGTGTATGAGCTGTTCTATTCCCGAGTTGGACAACATACTTCTGTTGGCAACTATTGGAACGACCCCTACCATCAAAGCCTGTATGAGTCTTATAGCGTGTACCTGCCATACATAAACAATCATTTACCGTAAGTATCCAATTCTTATTAGATTCTATTATAACATAACATCACGCCTTTTATCCCCGAAGGTGGTAAGCAGAGGTGCACACAGAAGTAACACCCACTTTTCACCATTTATGTTATGGGTCCCATGTAATGGGGGTGAGCGTTTTGCCATATACCAGGCACAATTCCAGCCTCCGTGCTACTAATGAGATTTTTTTAAAACCCTGTAATAATTTGCCCAACCCGGGAATCGAACCCGAGACCCCTTGCCCGGCAGTCGCACTTGCAACCACTCTATTATATCTAGTTTTATCAAAAAAAATTCAGCCGTTTATGTGTATTTAAATAACAAATATACAAATGTTTATAATGTAGATGTGGTTGTGCTAAACTATTAATCTATAATTGGGCTAGCATTTCATTAAAATCGGTACAGTCGTTTAGGTGTTAAATCACTATGAACTCACGCTATTATTTTATTAAATGTCAGCAGGGTTCAGTAATTATCTGTTCTGATAACTTACACAGCAGTTGCCAGCTAAGATAGGTAGTCAATTAATCTTAATTATCCAGGTTGAATGTACTTTCATAATATAATAGTAACATCGCGTCTTGTTATCTCCAACTAGCTACTTCCGCGCAGTTTCACACGCTCTGCTCAGCTCCTATCGGTTGTAGCGTGATGTTTTATAGCCTATAGCCATCCTCGATAAACGCGCTATCCAACACAAAAAGATTTATACAAATCAGACTTGTAGTTACGGAGATTAATGCGTTCAAACAAACAAACAAAAAACAAACTCTTCCGCTTTATATAACAGTATAAGATTTCAATATTTTGTTTTGACGTTCAAAAGCCGTCCTGGTCAAATTGAAATAAATGATTTTGACTTTGACTTTGCTCGATCTGCGATTGCGTCTATTACGGTGTTGCAGTACACTCACACATAAATACACCACGGATAATTTGGTGCTTCATTAATTTGTAAATGCCAGCCTGTAAAATCATTACGTCTACCATTTTTTCAACTTCTTTGCACAGATGTATTATTGTTGTTGTTGGAGAGGACGGGGGCTGCGTTCAAACGCATCCTCCCCAACCTCGGGGGGCCAAACGCCTCCTGCCGGAGGTTATACGCCGGGGTCGTGCGGTCCATGGCCCTCTACGGCGCCCCTGTTTGGGCGCCGAACCTGCTGCAGCGGCCCGCTCGGGCGCTGCTTATGGCACAGAGGGTCATGGCGATCCGAATGATCCGCGGATACCGCACGATCTCTGGGGAGTCGGCGAACCTCCTTGCCGGATTACCGCCGTGGGATCTGGAGGCGAAGGTGCTCGCGCGCGTGTATAACATGCGCGCGGAGGCACGTCGCCGGGGCGAAACTCCGCTGCCGCGCCAGATAAGTGCGTGGCGGGATGAGCTCCGGCGCGATCTCATGGCGGAATGGCAGCAACGACTGTCGCAACCGAGGGCTGGGCTCGCTGCCATTGCAGCGGTAAGTCCCCTCTTTGAGGAGTGGCTTGAGAGACGCTACGGCGTCCTCACCTACCGCCTGACGCAGGTCCTCACCGGACATGGAAGTTTCGGGAGGTACCTGTGTCTGATGGGGCGGGAGGAAACGCCCGGGTGTCATCACTGCGAGGACCGCCCTGAGGACACGTGGAACACTCAGTGGGAGAATGCCCTGCGTGGGCTGAGCACCGCCGTGCCCTCAGGGAAGTGATCGGCGATGGCGACCTCTCGCGTCCGGGCCGAGTGCAGGCCATGATGCGGAGCGAGGGGGACTGGGATGCCGTCTCCTCCTCCTTTGCGAAGCAGTCATGCTAGCTAAGGAGGAGGCGGGACGCGTGAGGTAGCGAAGCGCTGCCTCCTCGCAACCCAGCCATCGCGAAGGACACACCGGGCGTCGGGGATCGCGGGACGATCTCCGGCCACCGTAAGCGCGGGCCTGCGACGGCGAGCATGGGTGGCTCCCCGTCCGACCAGAAACAGACCCGAGCGTACGGCGCGTCGCGTTCCGCGCGCGCCTCAAAGAGCCATCAGACCACCACAGATGGGGCCCAATAGGGCCGATGCCGATTCGGAGTCGCGGAGAACCTAACGGGTAACCGGGGCTCCGGCTCGACGTGCAGGAGAAGGAACGGGGTGGTTTTAGTCAGTAAGAGTCTGACACTCCCTTCCGCCTCACCCAGGCGGGAGCAGTCATACGATGATTTTCCCCCCTTAAAAAAAAAAAAAATTGTTGTTGTTGTTTTAAATACCGTTGTCCCACACAAGGATTTTCTCCTGTGTCGTGAGTGCGTTTACAAACATACAAGTTCACATACACATGACACCCAGCCCAGACCCGGAACAACAATCTGTGGATCACACAAAGAGTTGTTCCGTGCGGGAATCGGACCCGCGACACGTTGCGCGGCAGCCAGTTCCCAGGGCACCGCGCCAACGTTCAGTCAAACATGCAGTCAGCCCTATATTCCGTGAGTCAGCCGTATGTAAAAAATACATTTCATGTAGTCATCACGTTGAGAAATCATGAAACAAGTTCACATTGTTTTTTTAGTGTAGTTATCAAATCGTTTTAATTAATTAAAACCCAAAATATGTTATTAGGTGAACAAATATCGATAAAAGTTAAATTTTTTTTACCTACCTTACATATTACTCCCATGTATAACTACTTACATAAAATAATGTTTAATAGCATTTATTTTATCTGTAGGCTGCCTCGTTGGCCGAGTCGCAAGTGCAACTGCCGGGCAATTGGTATCGAGTTCGATTCCCGGGTCGGGCAAAGTATTAGTGGGTTTTTAAAAATCTCAGTAGCAGCACGGCTCACCCCCTATTCCATGGGACTTATAACATAATTGGTAAAATGTGGGTGTTATATTGTACAGTGGCATTAAGTGCCTTAATGTGCACCTCTGCTTACCTCTTCGGGGATAAAAGGCGTGATGTTATGTTGTAACTTCTATATACGCACTTATACATATAAAATAATGATTAAGCATTTATTATTTTATCTATATACAATACAAAAGTGCATTGGCCTCATTCCAAGGCACGTGTTCTAATAAGAAAGTGAACGTGGTTTATAGATCAAGTCTATATCTAATTAATTTATACATCACAGATAGTCACAGTGTAAATAAATAGTATAACCTTGTATTTTGTTCAGTACGCATAATGTCATACGTACATTAACAGCTTATAAGTGCCCACTGCTGAGCAAAGCTGTCGTGACGGTTACTTCAGTGGCTGGGCAACCGGCTGTCCCGCAACGTGTCGCGGGTTCGATTCCCACACGGAACAACTCTTTGTGTGATCCACAAATTGATGTTTCGGGTCTGGGTGTCATTGTGCATGTGAACTTGTATGTTTGTAAACGTACACACGACAATTGAGTAAATCCTGGTGTGGGGCAACGTTTAAAAAAAAAACAAAGTAAAACTTCTTCTCACACGGAGAACGTTTGAGCGTTAATCACCACGCTTACTTATATCGGGTTAGCGATTTCAAACTTATAATAAGAAATTATAAGTACCTACAGGTATCCTTCACCGTTTATCAGTGGTATCTAAATAATCTTAGAATGTACATATAACTCGAAAAAAAAATCACATTGGTACTTGCCGTTGGTAGCTTTCGAACCCTCATGTATATAAAGCGGGCGTATTAAGGCGTCGGCCACCACGACCACATAATATGACACCTTTTTATTCCCAGAAGGCACAGGAAGAGGTACACATGTTCAATGTAACTCCTTCTTTACACTAGTTACGTATCATAACGCACCGCACCTGTGACTCCTCTGGTGTTGCGGGTGTCCATGGGCGGTGCTAATCGCTTACCATCAGGTGATCCGTCTGCTCTTTTGCCTTGCCTTACACCAACCTCGGTCACCCTCGGTGGGGTTCCACCAATGAGACAATATTTATTAACATCTCTTAATACTTAAGTTAGTATTAAAATAAAACTAAACAGAAGCTCCTGGAAAGATCCAGGCAGTGTTATCAATATTATTAAAAAAAAATCCCCCGTTGTGTTTGCTAAACTGTCTGACTACGATAACCTCAAGAACTGTCGAACATATTTTTATACAATTGGGTAGTTATCTTAATAAAATAATTTATTTTGACTGTTCAATACAATAAAATATTAAAAAAATAATCACATTTTCATTCATTGATTTTATGATCAACTTAATTTTAGTATTGTTTTAAGCAAATTTTTAAGAAATAAGTATGCGGTTTGACGTTAAAAAAACGTGACGTCACAATACACAATCTCTTACAAAATTCATAGAAAACTGTCGTTTTGAAAAAGTATTGAATTTGACTAGTTGGCAAGTGTTCAATTTTCAATATGGATCTGGATAGATAGGGCAAATAGGGGGAATGGGAATTGATTAACGATATTATTATAATGAAGTAATATTATTAGATTAATCTGCCTCGTTGGCCGGTCGCAAGTGCGACTGCCGGGCAAGTGGTCTCGGGTTCGATTCCCCTGTCGGGCAAAGTATTACTGGGTTTATTGAAAGAAATCCCAGTAGTAGCACGGAGTCTGGAATCGTGTCCGGTATATGTCAATAGACTTATAACATAAATAGTGAAAAGTGGGTGTGCACCTCTGCTTGCCCCTTCGGGTATAAAAGGCGTGACGTTGTGTTATGTTAAAATTCAAACGGTATTTTTAACATTGCCAAAATTAGTAAAAAGGTCAGAATGATGTATATCGTATTAGTATAAAAAACAGCGGAAGTTATCTCTGTTTAATATTTACGTTATGAACTAGAACGTCGATATTATTTTTTGTAATTAGTTTGTTTTGTTCATTACTGATATATTGATATTGTTCAAGGTCATTTGAAAATTTGAAATCATTAGTTACATGCATGTTTGATAAATTAAAAATAGTCAACGAATTGGAGTCTGATTTGTTTTAAACAAAAGCTTTAACATTGCCTTTTTTTATTTAAAACGTTGCTCCATGGTATTTTCTCCTGTGTCGTAGGTGCGTTTACAAACATACAAGTTCATATACACATCACACTAAGACCCGAAACAACGATTTGTGGATCACACAAAGAGTTGCTCCGTGCGGGAATCGAAACCGCTACACGTTGCGCGGCATCAGCAAATAAAATAAATTATATTAGCATACAATCCGTATTATATTCATTCTAAGATAGGGATCGTTAATTTCGACAAGTCTTTCATCGGTTCCATGGTGTAACGGTTAGCACTCTGGACTCTGAATCCAGCGATCCGAGTTCAAATCTCGGTGGAACCTGAACTTTTTGTATCATTTCTTAATGTTGTTTAAATGATTTATTTTGTATTTTTAACATATTTTTTGAATTTTTTATTTGAAAATTATAATTATTTTCGAATTATACGTCAAGTCTAGAAACTTCCTTTTTTATAATCGGTACATATTATACCGAGATTTAATAATGCCTAAAGTATTTTAATAAATAAATTAATTACAAATTCTTACATTTTAATAATATAATATTGTCAATTTACTGTTGTAATTGCAAAATAGTAACGCTATTCATAACAAATTGTGTCTATTGACGCAGAACTTTGAAATACAAACGAAGAAGTTGCTAAAAATAACAGCTTACTGCTTACGTCATTGTAGAAATGAGGTCAAGTATGTATGAACGCGTCATTGTTAGTCATAACATTGAGAACTATTAAATTGAATATTATTATTTTGTATGTAGGTACTTAGATAAAACAATACAACTTTTTTACAACATTTTTTTTCATATAAACAGTAGCTACAATGCTTACGGTCGGTCAGACGATACAACTTACGTACACCTATATATATAGTTGGGGACTTGCCAACTACTCAAATTCAATACTTTTTTCGAACTGTCAAAAACGACCGAATTTTGTACGAGATTGTGTATCGTGACGTCACGTTTTTTAGCGTCTAACCGTATACTTATATCAGTTATATCTTAACAAATGGGGTAGTTGCCTGGGTCAAAAATAAATTATTTTGATTCTTCAATCCAATTAAATATTGAAAAATAGTTACACTTTCATTCATTGATTTGCCGATATACTTAATTTTCTATTTATTCTTGCATTTTCTTCAGATATAAGTGTGCTATTTGACGCGAAAATATGATGACGTCATAAGCTAGTATTTCGTACAAAATTCATAGAACAGTACCGTTTTTGACGTTTCGATAAAAGTATTGAATTTGACTAGTTGTCAACTACCGTATTGCCAGAAAAATACTAAAATTAAGTTGGTCATAATATCAATTAATGGAAGTGTGATTATTTTTTAATATTTTATTGTATTGAACAGTCGAAATAATTTAGTTTTGATTAAGGAAAGTACCCAATTGTGTTATGTTGCATATTAATTATTGTCATGGTTTTTAATTAAACATAGATGCAATATTGTAGCTACAAGGAAATGTAAAAAAAAACAATATATGAACATTTAAACTTTCAAATGTATTTACTTGATATTGTTAGGTAATAATTTGTTTCTACTATGGTTATGATTACTTGTGTTTTGTAGAAGTTATTATGTAGATATAGGTCAAAGTAATGTTTATCGTTTTAGAAACAAAATGTAACTTATTGTAGTTGTAAAATGTAAGATTTGTATTCGTTAACAAAGCCTATTTTCGCTGATTCTATACTAAACCCAAAGGTTGACTTGACTGGGAGAAAATGCCATATAGCATTAAGGGGCCGTTCAAGTATTACGTAAGCAGATTTCTTACCATTTTTTACCCCCCCCCGCCCCCCTTGTCATAAAAAATAAGCAAAGCACTTACTCCCTCCCCCTATGCTTACGTAAACATTTTTAGTAATAAATATTTTTTTATATTGTTATTTTTAAAATAGGAAAATTCATGGAAATATTAGGTTTAACTGATACACATAGAGTAAATGACAAAAAATATAATCAGAAATAAAGAACATAACTAACATAAAGAATATTTTCGGAACACATTAACAGTCTTCAGTCCATGAAACCTGAATCCATGATTCTAAGTTATCGATGACATTGGATTGCTGCTCAGCGTTGTGAGTCTGCTCATTTTCATCCGATTTTGTCCCAGTATGAGATTTGTTAAAACTTCAGAACAGTTTTTGGTATAACTTGGATTTGTCTATATGATATGACATTCTAATAAGATATTTAAATTTAAATAATTATAACGTTAAACTTTGGCTAATTGCATCAACATAAACACAAATGATAACTTTCAATGCTTACAATACGTTTAGAATCCAAACAAAACAATACTGATAGATGCGCACTTGCAGCTTGCGGCCGGCACGAGAGCGAATTATTAGACAAGTGAATAGCGCACGGTAATTTCCCTAATGCGCGGTAATTCCCCTAATCAGTTCTCAAAGCGAGTGCCTACGCATAATTATGTATTATTGGCGGGAATCCCCGAAAAAACTTGAATAACTAACGATGACGTAATCATCATCTAGACCCCCCCACCCCCCATGTCATCCAAAATAAGCAAAACAGAGAATTGGTGCTTAAGTAATACTTGAACGGCCCCTAAGTCCGCCTTTTGTACCTTATTTGTGTGCATTAAAGAGTTAAAAAAAATACCCAAATAATAATAATGTACTTATATATTATACTTTAAACATTTCCAGGTCAGCAAAGTCAGCGGATTTCAAGAAGAATTTGCTGAGATTGAAGAGATTGGTGCTGATCGGAGGACCTGATGATAATGTCATCACACCTTGGCAGAGCAGGTACCTATATATTTACACTTATACATGAACTAGCGCCTTTATCGTACAGTCAGATGTAGGGTTGCCACCTTTTATTTTGATATTTAAAGTACATTGACGATTATAGGTAAGAAAAAAAGTACACAGTACAAAAATAAAGTACAATTTATTCTTATTTACTAAACAATTGCAATGAAATACTAAACAATTGCATCTTTAATAGAAATTGTCTAAGTGGCGCTGGCGAGTGGCGAAATCGATTCAACATAAGTCGATAAATATCGATATCGAATTTTGCAAAAATACAGTATTTTCGTGTACTTTATTATTCTTATAAAGTATACAGTACAATTACCTTAAATAACGTACAATACTTTATTATAAAGTACGGGTGGCAACCCTAGTCAGATGTAGTGAGGGCAGTGTGAAATTACTTTGGAAACCTTCCCTGCTCTTCTTGTAGGTATAAGAGTAGACAAAGTGACTACACCACTTGATCCTAATCCCCAAAATACCGGTAACGCACTTGTAACGCCTCTGGTGTTTCGCGTGTCCATGGGCGGCGACGATTGCTTACCATCAGGTGATCCGTCAGCTCGTTTACCGGCTTATCCCATAAATAAATCTTAAACCTTTTAAATTTCGATCTTCTGCTCACCTTACAAGCGTGGCGAAACCGTAGTGAAGGATGATGGGCCACCAGTGGACTGTGGACTAGTATTAGACAATTAGTCATTGGCTGTTGATGTTGATTTCTGATTAAAAAGCCCCAGGCGGACCCAAGGAACGTCTGATTTTATATTTCTGTTGTCTGTATAAAAATACAATGTGTGTCTCTTTGTTTTTATAATAACTATCGTGAGACATACTAAATGGGGATGATGACAGGGTATGAAAATTAAAAATATAATTAGTCCGTAAGTTAGGTAATGAAAAAATATTAGACACGTATTTTTTTATTTTGTCGTATAATAAAACAATACTTAGATAAAACGAATCAAAGTTTAGGAGTGGGGGCTAAAACGTCATTTCTTAGTATAAAATGTACTGAGAAGTGACGTCACGCGACATTTCAAATCAATATATCTTCGAAACTATTCGTTTCTGTGAGAAAATAAAAAATACGTATCTAATGTTTTTAAATAATCTATCAGACGGACATTAAAATAAAAATTAGTCGTCTACCCTATTAAGTAAAATCGCGGGTTACTCACGTGAATATACTGAGAAAAGCTCTACTAGTTTCGAACCACATAGGGGTTCTTCCTCGTGACCAGCGTGCGCGGTCGCGGCGATGTCGCGTAACTCACTGTAGTAGAGCTTTTCTCAGTATATTATATTCACGCGAGTAACCCGCGATTTTAGTTAGTGTGTCTCTTTATTTATGAGAAGAAATCTAAAGTTGATTAATTATTTTTAGTGCCTTATGTCCAAAAACTCAAATGCTCAATTTTAAGTCGCGCTTGAGTATTTTATTTATTTATATTTAAAAACACCTTAAACTATAATTACAGGGCATATAACTAAACATAACAAACAGACTAACATCAACTAAAGTAACAATATTTAAAAACAAAAATGAGAAAGATATACAAGGTGTTGTTTTAAAGCCGCGTCATTTTCTAGGAGGTAACTCGGATATCGATTCTGACTGAGTTCGAATCAATAAAAAAATTGTAGGTAAATATTTTTAATTTTTCTGAAATTATGGAAATCCGTAGGTGCGAACTACACGCCACCGTCTTGTAACTAACTTTATAACGCGCCTTAACACACACAAACTCAAACACGTAATTGATATTTTTCCTAATTCCATAAAACTCCAATGAGAAACATTGCTGTCGCTTATTCTGAAATACTGTCGAACTTAAACGATTTATTATAGCCGTATTTTTAACTATTGGCTCGAAATTTTCTCTTACATTGAACCTTTATGACTTCTGTGACATGCCCCCGAGAAATGACACGGTTTCAAAACTACACCTTGTATATCAGTATTTCAGCAGCCTCCAGCCTCCTCCAACAGTCTTTCAGTATTCGGACGTTAACTAACATAACATAACATAACATAACAACACGCCTTTTATCCTCGAAGGGGTAGGCAGAGGCGTACATTATGCCACTGTACAATGTAACACCCACTTTTCACTATGTATGTTATGAGTCCCATGTAATAGGGGGTGAGCGTATTGCCATATACCGGGCACGTCAACTAATATATCATTATATAAATTCCAGTCAATTCGGCTACTACGATGCGAATGAAACAATCATCGAGATGAAAGCTCAAGATATTTACGTTGAAGATAAGATAGGGCTTCGGACCTTGGATGAGACGGGACGACTCCACGTGGTAACTGTGCCAGGGGTGAACCATTTCAATTGGCATATGAACATGAGTATTGTTGATGACTTTTTACTCCCGTATTTGGATTAATAAGTGTTAATCGTTCGGTAGGATTTTTGATCCCAGTTTTTTTAAGTATATCTGTAGTGTCAAGTTTTTGTTTTTGATGTTTACGTATAGATTTGTTTTTGATAGAACTGTCTACTTAAGATTCGTTTAATTAGGTACATTTTTGTATCTTTTATATCGTTTGTATTTTTGCTATGTATATAATTATACAGTATTTTAAAATGAATACGTTAAATGTCATCTTTTACACAAAGATATCGATTGATAGTACTTTTACAAATAACATAACATTTGTGTAGTGTGATGATGTCGTGGTGGCCCGAAGGTTTAAGACGCCCGCTTCTAATGCAAGTACCAATGTGACTTTTTCCGAGTTATACGTACTTTCTAAGATTATCTAGACACCACTGACAAACGGTGAAGGAAAACATCGTGAGGAAACCTGGATTTATAATTTCTAATTATACGTTTGTTATCGCCCGCATTGAGCAAGCGTGGTGATTAATGCTCAAACCTTCTCCGTGTGAGAAGAGGCTTTGCTCAGCAGTAGGCACTCATAGGCAACAGCCTATAGGCATCATTAACAGACGATGATGATAAAATTTGTGGTTTAAATGAAGAGGATGTAAATACGTAAATATCGTAAGCAAATACTTACCTAAGACAGTATAAGTTATCAAAATTGAATTTATAATTATGGACAAATAATGAATTGCCGAATAGGGTAGACGACTAATTCTTATTTTAATGTCCGTCTGATAGATTATTTAAAAACATTAGACACGTATTTTTTCTTTTCTCACAGAAACGAATAGTTTCGAAGATATATTGATTTGAAATGTCGCGTGACGTCACTTCTCAGTACATTTTATACTAAGAAATGACGTTTTAGCCCCCACTCCTAAACTTTGATTCGTTTTATCGAAGTATTGTTTTATTATACGATAAAATAAAAAAATAGAAAGAAAGAAAGAAAGAAAGAAAGAAAAATCATTTATTTGGCAATTACACGCACAGAAAACGAAGAATATAAAAAAATAAAAATACATCTACAGAATACATACAATACATACAGAATTTTGAATAAACAATAAAAAAAAATCTAATAAACAAAATAATAATATTAATTTTAATTTGCGCGTGCTAATGCCAAAAGGGCCTCCACCTCAGCATAAAGTTGGACGTTTGTGCCCAACGCTGGTTTTCAGGTGGCACCCTGCAGTGACTCACGGACGGCGGTGCCGCCCCTCTATGAAGACAAAAAATAAACATGCAGTTGTATAAATAATATAAATTTAGCTGAATATGTGTGTGTGTGTGTGTGTGTGTGTGAAAAATTGAGAATAGAATAACATATATAACCGATAGTACATGTATATACATAGAAACAAAATGTAAAAAAGCAATTATAAGATGAATGAGATGAATGAAAATGAGAGAGAAAGAAAGAAGAATGAGAAGAAATACGTGTCTAATATTTTTTCATTACCTAACTTACGGACTAATTATATTTTTAATTTTCATACCCTGTCATCATCCCCATTGGGTACTTGCCTTCATCAAAAATAAATTATTTCGATTGTTCAATACAATAAAATATAAAAAAAATAATCACACTTTCACTAATTGATTTTATGACCAACTTAGATAGTTTTAGTATTTTCCAGTAAATTTTTAGGAATATAAGTTTGACTCTAAAAAAACGTGACGTCACAATACACAATATCGTACAAAATTCATGGAAAACTAAAGTTTTTGACAGTTCGAAAAGAGTATTGAATTTGACTAGTTGGCAAGGACCCAATCGATCAAATGTGATCTAACTACAGAAGTAATGTGGCTATGGCCGTACAGACATTTTTAAATAAAAATAATAATTAAGAAATTAGCTTATAATACTGAGATTAAAAAAAACAATATGAGTGAGATCTGCCATCGCGAAATGAACTGTAACTTCAACAGTTGAAAGTTCGAATTAGTATGCTATTTGTAGCTATATTACAGATTTGATAGAAAAAGGAAAGTGTCTTAGAACATTGGAATAAGGTTTACAATTCAATGGTTTGGTGTATATCATAATTTATTTATTAAAAATATCGTTATTCATAAGATATACATATTCCTAAAGACGCCAAATTTTGTAGATCTACAATTTGAAATAATTTTAGATATAATATTTAATTGGGTAGCCTTGACAATGCCTAAAAATGTATCAAACCAAACCAGTCTACTCGACCAGTTTCAGTACAACGCGCACTATGTGGGCTTCTACACAAAACTGCAATGCGACGTCGCATCGCAAAAATGTGCGAGCTCCCTCTACGCATCGCAAGAACTTGCGAATTGATCCGCATCACGCATCAAAATCTTATCTTCCCAAAATCTTCTTTGTTTCTTTTTCCTGTATCTCCTAAGTAATAAAAGAAGTGCATACTTCTTTTTACGGTCCATGTCACGACCTAGTTTTCAATTTAAACCGTTTAGTACGGTTGACGGTCGTCGAAGGAATGGTCACCCTGGGAGACGAGTCCTAACTACCGGTAGCTTGGACCATGCTCCCACTATTGGTTGGCTTCTATGTATTAATATATTATATTTAAATATTACTTTTTTTGAAAGTAGTATTTAAATTTATCTACCTAATAACTTTTGTATGATGATACTGGATTAATTTTAATAGGATTAACAAGCTTTCTCGATATATTGAATCTCGAATACTTTTTAAGTAGGTAACCTATTCAGCATGTCTGTTTAATATGTGCTTTAAACTGTCAAACACCAAGCGGTCACCGGTGACCGCGACCTATTGTTCTTTAATTGTGTCTATAAAACCGGTACTCGACGAGTTAATAGCCATATTACAAAATAAAAGGTAACATTTGTTATTTAATAGCTTAGACTTTGAGAAAAAAACTCAGTGGACCTATAGTTGATCGCGCGACGATCTCCGGCCACCTTAAGTGGGGGTCTGCGGACTGCGAGCATGGGTAGCTCGCCGTCCGACCAGAACCAGACCCGTGCGTACGACACGTCATGTTCTAAACGCGGGGCCCAATAAGGCTGATACCCGATACCGAACCACGGAAGGTCTAACGGAGTGGTATTTAATCAGTAAGAGTCTGACACTCCCTCTCGCCTATCCCAAGGCGGGAGAAGTAATTTGATTACTTACTTGATTTTTTCCCACTCAAAAAGCCTATAGTTACTTTTATATACATTTTTTCCTACTATATCAATGCACAACAAATACTGTATGTTTTTTTATATAGTGCAAACCACGTGATTATATTTAGTATACCCCGTATTTTATAAGTCATAGAATATTAATTTTAAGTGAATAGTACACTTTGATATTAATTTGTTAATTTATATTTAGTTTTATAATCCTTTTAATTGTACACACAAACCTGTAACTAACTTCTGTTTAAATACTATAACATAAAAATGATCTTAAAATGAAAGAACATAAGGTTTCATTTAGAATTTACAATGCATTACATAGACTGTGTATCTTAGAATACTAATGTAATACTAATAATATTTGCTTGATGATAATGGGCCTTAACTACATTGAAATAATGATCTAATTCTAATTCAATTGTCTCTGTATGGTTTCTCGTATATGCTAAGAGATGGAGTCTTTCAACCATTGTAGACTTGTGTTCTATGTATACGAATATGTATGTATATATGTTATATACTATATATGTATATTACGTATATTTTATTAATATCATGTGTTAAACTTGCGAGATATCATTGTCAAAGGCAATCTTGTAAGAACTGATATACCATAAATGAATGTTTTAAGCGCCAGAAACTTTAAATCATTATTTGTTAACAAGTCATAATAGGTGGTGAACCAATTGCCATATACCGGGCACAATTCCAGACTGTGCTCTCTGTGAGAATTTTTTAAAAACCCAGTATTACCCAGGAATCGAAACCGAGACCCCTTGCTCTAGTTCTTTGTTAGAAAATGTAATAATTGCTCAATATTAATTTCACTAAAAAATGAAAGTTATTTTATAATGAAACAATGATTTCGCAAGTTGAATCATGAATATGTAATTAAGCTTTTATCAATATAATCGCATAATTATTGTATGACTTATATTTTGTATGTCTTATTATCTTGATAGGATGATCATAATAGCCCAAACGATTGCCTCATGTTTTAATAAATTATACCTTAAATGCTTATCTGTCTAAAAGATTTGTTACACAAATGAAAAAAACAATATGAGTAATACCTGCCACGCGGGTCCTTAACATGCAATAGGCAGTCTGAACTACCCGCTGGGCGGGTCCCTTATATTGAATGTCTTATATAGAAGAAATATCTATTGATTTATATTTATTCTTGATTAAGCTCATTGACAAGTAGATATAATATATTATTTTTAATGCTGACATAGTTCAAAATCATAATTTAATAATACAATTATTAATTTTGTATGTTTATATGCTTTATTATTATTTTAAGTAGGTTATCTAGTCGTGTGTGGTGAGAAAATAAATAAAATTTTGTACAAAACTTGTGAGTTTTAATTTTAATAAAAAAATAAACATTTTTTGTTCTATGTTTATATATTTGATGGGCCGACGTTTGACCACTATCTCGCCTGGTGGTTAGCTATGATGCGGCCTATGATGAAGCACGTCGTCCCATAAGCAACCTATTCACTCGGGCCTTGAAGAGCCTCAGGTTACCCTTCAGGAAATACAGACTCCGGCAAAGAATTGGCGCAAAAGGAAGCTTGATGGCGCTTCGTGCCTTTGGATGGGAAAATTCTTATCGTTTCTATGTGTCGCGGAGAACCTAACGGGTTACCGGGGCTCCGGCTCGACGTGCAGGAGAAGGAAGGGTGGTTTTTAGTCAGTAAGAGTCTGACACTCCCTCCCGCCTCACCCAGGCGGGAGAAGTCATAAGATGACTTTCCCCCCTTAAAAAAATTGTTTGTAAGTATATTTGGATATTTGTTTTTATAGATTCTTATGTAACTTTTAATAGCTCAACT